ATATATATATATATATATTCAAGCATTAGCAGCAGTGATAATTATGAGTATAATACATGGATCTTCAATGCCTCCAGTAACAGAGAGATAATCACACACTAAATTCAAATTATAACCTATGTCAAACAACACTGAAATAGAGGATTTTTGAAGCTGGAGGGACCTCGACTTTTTTCCTCATTTTGTTAAGAGATTGTCTATTTTTTCAGGGATATAAACTTATGGCTTCTAGTACTGACTTAAAGTGGAAGGCTGAGTAATTTACTTGTCTTCTCTGTGTCTCAGTTTTTCCATAAGTTGGAGATAATGACAATGGTGACTTCAGAGGACCCCTCTGAATAAGTACGAGACAGCTGGGTTGGGTGTGAGGTTTCCTGGGATGACTGGCCTCCTCTCTGAGGTCACCTTGGCTCCCATCTCTACGAAGGGTAAAGCCCACACGCCCACCTGGGGGAAGATGTCTTCTACTTACGTACCAGCAGGTTCTGCTTTTCCTCTTGGCTGATGTTGTCACTTTGTGGTGTTGTCCTGTCTCCAGCAGAGCACTGTGAACATGCTTCCATTGTAGCATTTTACAAGATTATAATCATTAGTTTACAAATCTGCCACTTTCATTAAAATCTTCGCTTGAAGAGGGCAGGCTCCCAACCTTGTTTTAGGTCTCCTGACCCTAACCCCGTGGTTTGCACATGGCAGGCTTTTCATGAATACTTGTGGAGGAAATGAAAGAGATAATGCTCATGGAGGGAGGGGCTTTGAAGACGGGGGCACAAAGCAAACCCGGGGGGTTACGGGATTATGTTCATTACTACAGGCTCGAGGGGAGCACTTGGAAAGCGCAACACCCGACTGCAAAGTAAGGTGATCTGATTCCTGTTGGGCCTAAGCCAACAGATAGGGTCTATTAGTCGACCACTGAAGCTCCCTTCACAGAAATGCAAAACAAAACAGCCTCCCCACTAACAAACTCAACACAGAACAAAGAAAAAAAAAAATCCAAAGTGTAAACAACACCACCAAGGCCCAAATAAGACCCGGCCGCCTGCCCGCCTTCGCTTGCCCGGCTGCACGTGCTGATTGTAAGTCCTGCTCCGGGCGGCCTGTGGCGAGGCCTGTGGCTGCAGAGCTCGGACGGTGTGGGGGTGACTTTGGGTCGGGGCAGCCTCTGCTCACACCCAGGTGACCCCCTGTTCACTGCTCACGTGCCCGGCGGCCAGGGCGCTCACCAGGTTCCCTTCCATGCAGCTGGCACAGGGCCGGGCTCCTGATAATCACAACAGGAATCCCGGGCCTCTCCTTTACCCCAACCTCCCTGCCCCCCAGCACTTTCCAGAAAGACGCATGACACGGGCCTTGCGGTGTTTGGTCGCCTTCTTTACCCTTTGTAGACACGGCGGCCGTGCCTGGTGCTTCACACATGGCGACACCACTTCTCCCCTGCTCTCTTCCCATCGCTTCGTTAGTTCCGATGAGCCCAGGTCCCCATATTGTCCTGGAGTAATTATTTATAACTTCTTTCACTTTCCCAAGTGACCCCGTTCAGGCATAAATTGTACAGTCACGCTGTCATTAGTGAGGGTTGGCTCTGGAGGATGGGACAGTCCCTGGTTAGGAGGGAGGCGCATGGCTCGGGGGAGGTTTCCTTTAGACTCTGGGCATCAGATCTTGGTGCCACCCTCGATGGGTGGGAAGCACGGAGAAGTCACTACCGGCATCACTTTCATCACCTGTGCAAAGAGCACAGGAACATAACAGTCGCCCCCACCTCCCGGGACTGTGCTGAGGAGGCAGGGGACGCGCCCGCCCGACAGCCCGGGACACACAGCGTCCCACTGATAGCGGCCCTCCTTCCGTCCTCCTGCCTTCTTTCTTCCTTGCCTCCTCCTGCCTTCCTCGCCCCTTCATCTCCATCCTTTCCTCCACCCTTTCTTCTGCTCTTTGTACTTTCTGGAAGAATTGAGTCATTGGGATGCCCGAAGCAGAAAGCTCCT